TATATATATATTTATATATATATATATATATATAAACTTTTATACAGAGGATAACTAAAGTAATAACTTTCTGTTTATATTAACTAGTATTTACTAAAATATCTGTTCTGCGTGTTCAGTTTTAAATACTGATGAGATATCCAGCAGTGATTATTTCAACTAAATTTACCTAAGACATTTTTTCAGGTAATTTTAGGTTAGTTTATTTAATTTTCAGTTACATGTAGTGCTGCTTATTTTACATTTAAAATATATACAATTTATTTTACATTTAAAACATATAAAATTTATTTACATCTGAATGACTTGTACTATTGATGACTTTGATTTACATTAAATATTTTATCTTAATAAAAATCGACTTGGAATAATTTTAAAAATAATAAGTAAAAAAGAAATATTACCATTCATATACTTTGTTAAAGAATGATGAACAATGTGAGCACCAAGAGTTAGAGGTTTCTGTAATATATACATACATTTAGGGTATCAATAATAATCATAGCTTTGAAAATATTAAATAAATAAAATAAGGTTTCTCCAAAAAAAACATGACAACATTTTCACTAAAATAGCTTTAATTCATAAGCCTAAAAGTTTCTTTAAATATAAACAAAAGTTATTCAATAATTGGAAGAAAAAAAATTCTTAAATATAAAGAAACAATCACAACTGAAAAACTTGGTTTGAAAAAATTTTATCAAACGTAAACAAACAATCGCAATTGAAAAGCTTCTACTCAAAGTAAAAAAGTTCTTAATCATTAACAAAGAATCATAACTGAAAAGTTTAGTGGAAGAAAATAAAGTTCTGAGACATAAAACAAACAAGTATAATTAAAAAGTTTAGAGAATGAACATATTAGGCTTCATTTCAGAGCATCAGCTTTAGAATATATTGAAAGCTGTTTACAAAACATAATTTTCTAATAATAATAGCCTTTTAATTTTTTTAAATAATAATTTTTTTTTAATCAATATAAGTGCCTTTATAATGCTACTTAATGCATTCTTGCACTATATTCTTAAATATTGGTGGATTAATATCAATTAAAATCAAATTAAATAAATTACACAAAATAAAAGTTCTAGGTAATTACTATTTGAAGCATCTTACTTGAAAGTAAGAAGACATGAAGGTATTATCAACCACAGATATAATTTGAGGATGATTTTCTATCAGCTTAGCAACACCTGCAATGTCTACCATTTTCATGGTGGGATTTGTTGGAGTCTCAATCCAAATCATCTATACAAAATATGGGTAATATTAATTTTCAGTAAAAATCACTTAAGGAAAAAACATATCAAATTTCAAAGTGTATCTAATTCAATAGTTTTAAAATTTCGTATTTAAATATATTTTTAATTTAAAACTTTAGTGCACTTGTAAACAATATTACATAGTGGTTTTCATTTTATCACTTACTTCATAAACAACAAAATAAATTTTTAAAAAATGAAAAAGGTAATTTTGTAAGATGCAATGTAAACATTAAAATGACAAATCTAGTGTTGAAAAAAGTTTTTAAATATGAGAAGACAAAATGAAAAAAAAAAAACTATTTATTGCTTGTATTTAACAAATACTAACTAACTAGTACTACTAATCTAAAATGCCAAGTTATTTCAGCATACATAAGAAAAGTATCATTTGTATCATATTTGGGACAAAATTCATGCCATAATTTTTATTATTGAATTCAATACTAGTCCACCTAACCAGTCATTCCAATAAATAACTTTATATAAAAGCACACAAGCAAAATAGAGGTAAAGCCAGTTCAGTTTGAAAATTTCAATTAAAATATGCCATTAATTAAATTAATATGACATTAAAATAATTTTTTTTCATAAAAAAAAATTTACAACTTATTTCTATCTAAATAAATAATATTACCTTGGTGTTTGGTTGGATTGCATTGGCAATGTTTTTTAATTCTACCATGTCTACAAAGGAAGTTTCAAGTCCCATCTTTGATGCACAGGTTCTAAAAAATCTATTTGTTCCTAAATTTAAAAAAAAAAAAAAAAATTATTGATTAAAACTAAGCTTATTGTGAACAGAATTCTATTTAATGTCTTTATATAAGACATAGTTAGTAAAAAAAATGAATTAACAATATATATATA